AATAATTATTTCTTCTAGTTACGACCTTTGTACTTGGTTGCTGTTTGATGTAGGTTGCTAAGCTTTTAAAAATTTTGCACGTGGAGGATATGAAACAAAATATTTTTTTTAGGTTTTATATATACTTTTGAATAACTAAAAAATCATAAACTACAACATTAATACCATAGAATTCTACTATAATTTATGAAGTATAGTAAATAAGCTATATTTTGGTCTAAAAAATATGAAATTTTGAGCAAAACAAGACACAACCTACCTCATTGAAATCTTGGTTCAAAAGAAAGAAATGGCATCAGGTACATTAGAAAGGCTGAGAAAACCACTAGGGGGACATTCTGAGCTTCCGATTTGTTATTCATGTCATATATAGAAGTAAGTGTATATAAGGGTGCATTTCCAAAAATGGAAATAGGTAAGCGGGTTGCTACTGAGTTTGATTTATTACATGAGCAATATCTTAGCAAACAGAAAAGATAAGACATTCTTATTTTATATTCTAGCCTGCCAATATCTGTAATTTGAGTTTCTAATTTGTATGAAACTATAGACTTAGTATTTTGACTTCATGAACATCTAATTTGAACCAGTGCTGCATTCAACATACCATGTTACACACAAAAATTGATGTTTATCTGTGTTTTTTTAATATCTACTTTTAAATTAACAAATTGGGTAATGTATAGTTCTAAAATTTGAATTATAATCTACAGTTTGATATCAATGTTATTGACATAAATTCATGAAATAGTAGTTCAATAAAATTTTGAATACGAGTCAACAAACGAGATGACATGGCCTTTCACCTGTGACTTATCTTGAAAGGGTTAACAGAGAGAAATCTTAAGATTTCATTGAAGAGATGGCATCCCACTTAGTTTTCTGAATAAATGAGGTTTAAGATTAACCAAATCTATATACAGTGTTCTATGTCTGCCGTGGTCACATCATCAATTATTTTATTCCATTGATAACATGACTTAACTAGGTATGCTGTATTTGGTCTGAGGTGATAACACGCTTGTATCATTCTTGAACATTATTCTCCTTCAGCTCTGATGAACAGACTATTTATGATTTTTCTTGTATGCGTTGTATGATGAAAAATTCATGGCCAGTGTCAGGTGACATTGCTGTATCTGTTTCCATCTTTTCAGATGATTGTGCTGAAATTTGAATAAGAACGAACTGGATGCATTTTTGTGCTCATTAAGAACTTCCCTGACTAGAACACTGATCTTCTGCCATATGTCTGCTTTATCAGTGTTAAGAGTTTTTTGTTAAACTAGCCTCTTATGGTTGGGAAGTTTTAAGATTGGGCACAGTCATAGAAAGAAAGCCCGTACATTGAGGGATTTTCAGAAGTGGAGAATATAGTGTTGCTTGAATAAATAGCATGAACAACCTGGCAAGTAACTGTCTATGCTTTTAAAACAACATTCTGTTCACGAATCCAGTAATGCTAGTGTGATTCAAGTTTTTAGTACTTGGGAACTTGCTTGGGGTGTAAAATGATGAAATATTTCCATCTTCTGTGGTCATACTGTTAGTTTCATCGTCATCTAGTTCATTAGGCATAATCTTACTTTTTCAGAATGATATATTATATTTTCTTTGATGCTTCTATTGAATTCTATTCTTCACAGACACAGCACATGTGTGACACGTGTTTATTAAATATTTATCATAAGGTCAACGTTGGTCATATACTCAGCTGTATAGTTCTTGTACTGTTTTAGCATCTTGATTGCGAGTGAAAAATTTCCAATGGTTTTTCTGTAATCAGGTATAGTTGTTTTGTTAAGTCAGGAATGAAATACAAATACAAGCTCTAACTTCACTTTTTTAAATCTAGTACAGGATATATAAATTCTTGAAAATTGATAATTTTTACAGACAGTAACACAGATATGTTACCTTTCCTTTATTTTTAATAAAATACACACACTATTTCTTTTTTTGTATAGAATGATATTTCAATGTATACCCAATATAATTTTTCTTCTAATAAATCCCCAATTAAATGCAAAACAGTTCTAGAATAATCATAATAGTTAAACCAATAATCAAGCAGTTGCAGAGAAATCTGACCAAAATAATTTTACTAACACAGTGGTACCCAATTTTGTTTGACTAAGTGACCCTAAATTGGTCTTTGTTCATTTATGCATCTCACTTTTGTTTAGGTCTAATAACAAAAATATTATCATCATTGTTGTCTAAGGTCTGTTTATTCGCATTCTATTTTTAGATTCTGTTATTAATCTGATCAGTCACTAAATTAATTTTCATATAACAAATGTCATAGTTAAAATGCATTTCACTGAATTCAAACAGACAATAACTGCAACTTTACAAACAAAAAACAAGCATATCAAAGAACATCTGATGAACAACTCAGACTGGTAGTGTTGCCGAATTATCTGCTTTATTTTTCCAGTAAGGTATTTTATTTCATACATTTTTGCATATTTTTTTGGGAATTAGCTCATCTATTTCATCTACTACTTTCACGTTTCTCCTAGGGATATGTCTATCACTGGTTCGGAACCAGTGTTCTAACACATCAATTAACCAATGTCAAGCCTAAAAACTATTAATTTTCATTGGTTAAGAACCTTCTTAACCAATATGGATTGATAAAACTTCCAGAAGTAGCAAGAACAATCTATTCTGGAAACCTATTCAAAACCTATGTTTTATAGTTGTTCATCTATTGTATAAAAATTGAAATTTTATACAAAATACTATAACAGATAATGTTTCGATAATATTGGTATTGTTATGACAGCAGAAGTCACGCGACACTGGGAGCATGCGAGCTGGAGTTTCTCGAAGAATCATGAATTATCGAGGAATCCTGCGAATGTCCGAGTGTTTGCTAGACGCCCTCTTTTTTAGTATATAAGCCTGGTGAGAAAAACCAGTGGGATCAGAAGAGATCAGCAGATAGATTGAAGAGATAGATAATTGAGTCAAGCGAACAGTAGGTACCGTAAGTAAAGTGTGTGAATCACT